GCTCAGTAGTTCCACCGCCTGCCTCGAAAGCCCAAGGTCCCAAGTTTGATTTATTTATTTATTTATTTGACTTTTGGAGCAGGGGATTTAGCTCAGTAGTTCCACCGCCTGCCTCGAAAGCCCAAGGTCCCAAGTTTGATCCCTGGTACCAAAAAAAAAAAAGAAAGAAAGAAATTATGATTTTTGGAGACAGGGTCTTACTTGGTAATTTGGGCTGACATTGAATTCACTATGTAGCCCAGAGTGGCCTCAAACTCTTTGATCCTCATGCCTCAGCCCCATGAGTGCTGGGATTACAGGTGTGGGCCACCACACCCAGCTCCCATTTACATATTTTTCTTACAGTGACCTCCAGTTTCATCCATGTTGCTGCAAATAACAGGATTCCACTCTTCTTTCTGGGTGCATAATATTCCATCCTGGCCTTAGGACACATTTTCTTTAGCCATTCACCTCTCAAGGGACACCTCAGTTGATTCTGCATCTCAGCCATTGTGACTTGTGCTGCCAGAAACGTGAGTACAGAAATCTCTTTGATGTATTCATTTCCTTTGCATATAGACCTGGTGTGAGATTATGAGATCATATGGTCATTCTATTTTTATTTTTTTTGAGGAACCTTCATACTGTTTTCCATAATAACTGTATTAATTTGCATTCTCTCTGGGGATGAGAGTTCCCCTTTTTAAAACCCTGGCAGCATTTGTCATTTTTAAAATCTTTTTTTGCCCAGTCAAAGTGGGGTAAAACAGCTTCTTATTGTGGTTTGGATTTGCATGTCTCTGATAATTAGTGGGGCTGAGCACTTTTTCATTACACTTGTTGACCATTTGCTTTGCAGTTGTAAATGTTTTTTATTTCTTTTTTCTCTTCGGACAGGGTCTTGCTATATAGTTCAGGTGGGCCTTGAACTCACCATTGATCCCAAGATGGGCTCAACTCCTGGTGACCCTCCTGCCTCAGCCTTCTGAGAGCTGGGATCACAGGTGTGCAACACCACACCTGGCTCCAGATTATGATTTACAGGCAGATGTGCTGGTTTGCTCCATGGCAAAGAGTTTAGCTTTTATGTGGAGAACAATAGAATAGCACTTAGTTGCTTAAAGATTTGTTAGGCACCTACTGTATACCACAGGGTAAGCCCAGTTTGAGGACCCAGATGGGGCAGGGGACCAACATCGTCTGGATCTGGGGGAGCTCATGGGACAAATTCCTGCATGGAAGGGGTTTCCCTAGGCTGCAACCTGAGAGCTCTATGGCTCTCTCAGGGCTCCCCCCACCTCCTCCTCACTGCGCGCAACCAGAACCCAGGCTCTGCACATGCGCATGGGAGGCACACACTCCACCACTGAGCTACAGCCCAGCACCTCCCATATTTGTTTCCCATTAGTATTTATCTTCTGGGCCGGGGATTTAGCTCAGTAATGCAAGGTCCTGAGTTTGATCCCTGGTACCAAAAAATAAAAAAAGTATTTATCTTCTAACTTCCTATATAATTCCCTGAAGTCTAAATGTCCCCAAAGCTGGGATTTTGTTTTGTCTGGTTTCCTGCTGAGGCTTTCAGCATTGACAGTATTGCCCGAAACGCCAGAAGTGCTCAATAAATAACTATCTCCCTCCCTTCTCCTCTCCTCCCCTCTCCTCTCCTCTCCTCCCTCCCCCTCTCCCTTCTCCTCTTTTTCCTTGGATTTCTTTTCTTTCCAGTACTGGAGATTGAACCCAAGGCCTTCACTCTGAGCTACATCTCCAACCCCTTTTCTATTCTTTTTTATTTTTTTATTTTTGGTACTGGGGATCGAACTCAGGTCCTTGCGCTTTTGCAGCAGGCATCGAAACCACTGAGCTAAATCCCCGGCCCTTTATTCTTTATTTTGAGACAGCATCCTGCTAAATTGTCCAGGCTGGGCTTGAACTTTCCATCCTCCTGCCTCAGTCTCCTGAGTACCTGGGATCACAGGTGTGCACCACCATGTTGGCTGCTGAATAAATTCTTGAGTGGATATCTTCATTCATCTTTCTACTTCAGGGCTCTGGGTCTCAAAGTCTCTATCTCTGAGGCCACTGGATGCGTAAAGTGTCCCAGAAGTGACATAGACACAGGGTCAAATCCGGGGACTGGCACTGACTGGCTGTGGGTTGCTGGGCTCTGGCTCCTGAGGGGCCCCCTCCCCACTGAGCTGTGTCAGGATCACAGTGC